CCGATGCGACCATTCTCATCTTCAAGATTTCTCTCCTTGCCATATCATGCCATATTTTGGTGAGGTCGTCCATGTCATCGCGGTTCATTGCCATGATCTTGTTCTCTTCGGCGAGTAACAAGGACATGGATTTGTTTTCAGTGGCGCGTGCTCTTCTCTCCTTAATGGAAGCTTTGCGGAGCCCCTCTTCCTTGAGCAATTGCCACTTTTCTTACTTCTCTTTTGCCTTCTTCTCGGCAAACTCTTTCTTGATCTCCAATGACTTCAACAACATCAACTCGTTTGATTGCACCATGGCATCAATCTTCTCCCTCAAGCTCGATGCTTCTTGCTCTCTCTTCATCTTCTCCTTAGTCTTCTTGTCGCCATCGGGCTTGTTCAAATTTCTTGGGCCATCATCATCCTCATCTTCATCCATGTTTGTAAGCGAGCCTCTCTTCGGTGGGGATTCTTTGTCGATCAACTTCCACTTCTCGCACTTTTTGGAGCAACTCCCAACAATGCTCTAGTTTGAAGAATTTGCCTTCCAAAGCTTCCATGTCTTTGTATCTATGTTGGGCAATCTTGTCCTACACAATCTGAACAAAGTGATGTAATCAATTCTCATGATGCAAATATGATTATGCACAACTTGAACAAAGGAAAAACAAACTCACATAGTCGGATTCCACGGTACCACTTGGAGGTGCATTGCGTACTTGCTCCAAGCAAGCTACCCAACGGCTGCACATAGGCTTGATGTTCTCCCAACGCCCTTGAAGCAACCGAAATGTGCGTGGAGTCTTATTGGGATACTTTGCCATAATGCGGAAGTACTGATCTTCGATACTTTGCCAATATCTCTTGGCGGTTTGAGAAGTACCCCTGCATGCATCAAGAGACACCACATTCCATGATCGTGTAGTTCTTCGATCTTTGGCTTTTCCCAGATTTTGATTGTGATTGCTCAAACGCTTCCGCTTTGATCTCCGCCAATTTGTCCTAACAACCATGATCATCCACGCCGCCCTCCGTTTCATTGTAGTCGAATGCGGCGAATGGGGCTTGATCAATGTCAACGGCATTGGTGTCCAACAAGTTCACGAACTCGGCAGTTGCATTGTTTGAACCACCACTATATTGAACGATAAGTCACGAGCTATCGCAAAAAATGGCAAAAACGAAAGGAAAGCACCATGACCGAAGACGCATACCTTCCGGCCATTTCGTCGTACACCTCGCTTGCGGGGGGAGCAGCACCGTTGGATGGCATCACCGGGGCACCTCTTTCGGGATGGAGCTCGAGGATGAAGGAGGCGGCTTGTTTGTAGCCGGATTCCTCTTCCTCTTGCCGGCTGCGGCCTTGGTCACCTTCTCCGCCGCCGGTCGAGATCGCGCAGCAGCGTTGGCGTCGGGAGCGTGAGCCCTGCCGGCGGGGGCTACCGGATTCCCGCCCTGCACGACCACGTTACCCTGCCGCTTGCGGGCAGGGGCGGCGCTAGCTTGAGCGACGGCAGGGCCAACATGGCCGGCGACGGGATCTGCCCGAGGGGAAGGGGCGTGCGCGACCTCGACGGTGACGGGAGGCAGATGGGAGTCGTCCATGGCGGCGAGGGACGGACGCGGAGGATGCACCGGAGCGTGCGGCGGCGGGGCAATGGTGGCGGAGGGTGGGGGAGCAGGAAAGGGCGCGCAGAAATGCCCCTCCCGCCAAATCTCGCTGCGGATAGGGGCTGAGCTCGGGTCGGCCTCCTAGCCCGTGAAACTAGAGGTTGGAGGAGAAGTTTTGCCGCGCACCGCAAAAATATTTGTGGGTCGGGGCGGGATGCAGGATCTAATCGGGCAGGTTTTTCCGCCCCGACCCGCACTTTAACGGTTATTTTACGAGTCGGGGCGGGATGCGGCGACTGCTAGAGTTGCTCTTATCTAGCTTACCCATGAGTGGTTTTGGCCACCCATGTCTCTCTTTCTTCCTGCTTCTTCATGTTGTGATCCTGGGATAGAGCATTAGTTTGCATCCAAACTCATGCATGTAACTGACCCCTGGTCATCCAGGCTCTGGCCTGTTTTGAATGAATAAGGTAGATAATGGCCTGTTTTTACTTTAAAAAAATACAAAAAAATTGTCATAAAACATGTCAGATTTACCATGCCTAAAAATCTGATGTGAGATTTTATAGTATCTCCGTAAATTTTTAACAATTGTGCTCTCCTTCTCAGCTGTCTATCTCAGCTTTCCAAGACCGACGCCGCCCCCGTAACCCCCGGACGCATCAGGAAGCCAGGCTAGCTTACACGTACGGGTACAATGCTGGTTCCCATGGGAAATTCGATCTCGCGGCTGGAGTTTGTGGCTCGAAGATTCCTAGCTTGGGCAAGCTGTCTTTGCTAATCGGTAGTATGAACAAGACTGTAGAAGCTGACGGCTGCAGATGGTGGTGGGCTTGTGCAACATGGAGAGCAAAAAGTTGTCGTGGCGAAAAAGCAACGGCACCTGGCCAACAATTTCAACTGGAATCTCGATCGACCTCCTGCGCTGCGTCCATGGATTATGCGCATGTCACCGGCCGGCCGGGATCTCTGGGAGGACCCTGCCCAAATGCTGCCGCCGTCCCATTCACCTTGGTCGGCGGGTGCCGCGCGCAGTGGATCGATGCTGCCCGCACTCGCTGACACGCGGGAGCATGCGTCACAGTAAAATTCTCTAGACTAGATGCACGGTCAGCTCGGCCATTGATTTTTTTATTATTATTATTTTTTGCCCTGAGCTCGGCCATTGATTCTCACACTGGACGCGCCTAGCCAATGTGGCTTCATACAGAACGGGAAGAACCACGGTCAGTCCAAGCTCGGTGGCACCTAGTTTCAAACATCGTGGACAATGTAATCCCTGTTTAATTTTACCCAAATGATAACGCCCACACGTGTGGTAGTTTTGTAACTCGCCCACACGCGTGTATCACCGTCCAGTCGAGTTTGCACGAATCTTGACACATTGAGTCAGAATTTACATGCCATGTAGGACGGGGCTAGTGTGTGGACGTTGGAGAGTTCGCGCACACGCCCCGCAGCACGTGGTTTGCCAGTTGCGCTGTGTGGGCGAACTAGTTTCTGCCCCACAGCCACCACCTAGTCCACGCGCGTGTTGGCGAACTGTTTTTCGCCCACACGATACTCATACGTTGTTGGATGGCAACTGCAGTTAGGCGTACGTGACAACTAGGTAAACATACATGGCAACTATGATTTGTTACTAGACGGCAACTGCAGTTGCGCGTCCGTGACAACCAGATAAACATACGTGGCAACTGTGATTAACCATACAACTCAACTATGATTGGACTACACGTAGCAACTAGGTAAACACACATGACAACTACTGTTTGATCATATGTAGCAAGTAGTTAATCACACACGGCAACTACGGTTTGATTACACGCGAAAACTATCATAAATTAAATATGGCAACTATAGTTAATCAAAATAGATAGAGTTGTCATGCTTTTACAACATATTTGTCATCCCGAATAACTACATCTGCCATCCCGCATGGCAACTAAATCGTCATCCCGCGGGTACCTGATGTAGCTGTGCCAGGACGTGTGGGCATTTTTGCTTCGTGACACACGCGCGAGATGAAGATGAGTAATACTTGTTGGACGTGTAGCATGAAGTAGCTGCGCCCACAGGTGTGGGCAATTTTAATGCTCGCCCACACACAGCCATGTGGGTTGCCTCATGCTCACGTCACACATGATGTATGGATAGATGCCTAGTATACCAGACATGTGGGCTTTATCAAGACTCTAATTTTAATAAAGCTAGCCATAATGGTCTTTTCCTTTAAAAAAAAGTCCAAGCTCGGTGGCAGGGCCGGCAGATTTTTTGCCGAAAGGCGGTTTAGTGAACGGTTCAGGTGATACCTACACCCCGAATGGAATTAAAGCATAGCCTGGCTAGGTTTTTTTTTCATGCTGAAACAATGACCCGGCCTCTTATCTCAAGTCTCAGGATCCGACCATGGTACGCTGGAACTGTGGCTTGACTGAAGAGGGAGTCCTGGCATCGCCACTTTCCTTCGTCACGAAGCAAGCTAGCTCGCCCGCTGGTCCGGACGGACGGACCATGCTGAGGTTGCAGCAGTTGACGTGGACTGCATCTGCATCTGTGACGAACATTCGCACTCAACGGAAGAAACGAAGGATAACAAGTCAAGAGTGTGCATAGTACCAAACTGGTTGTTTAACCTTCCATGGCCTCTAATAAAACTTGGGTTCTACTTTCTGTCTGATGAACATGATTTTTGGCCAGCCAAGTCACCCTGCAGTGCAGTGACAACCTGAATGTGCGTATGGTAAATAAGTGACGACACTGAAAAGATACATGAAATAATTGTGACCAATTTAGATGGTTAACTCCGTGATTCCGATGTTGCCATGCATCAACATTATCTGAATGAAGGCTGCTTCCATGCCCCAGAGAAGGTTGCAGGGATACAAAACAAGTATCCTAAGGCGAAGTGTTGGTATACACAACCATTTCCCATGCAAATTTCAGAAGAGAAGGGCATCTCATCCAGATTACTGTACTGTTCTGGGTCTCACTGCACAAAACACCATCGACCAGAACGGTTTGCTGGCAGGTTTGCGCACGACCTGATGGCCTGTGGACAAGCACAGATGCACACGCAGTTCCTTTTGATCTTACCTCAAATTACGGGGAATAGAACGGAAAACCTCAGGCACGGAGAAACTGTACATGTATCAAGTGATAAATACTTGCAACAAAACATATAGCAGCATAAAGAGTCTACAGAACGTGTGTCGGGCAAAGTCGCAAAACAGCATCATTTTTCAGGCCTTTTAGCGTTTCTCTGTACAATGATCACATGTCATCTACTAACAGCTCTCAAACACTACACACTGGTACTCTGACGAGCGAATTCAGAACTAGGTGCAACACCATCCAGCCATTCAAATGAAACATGATATTGAGTGCTGTCTACCCTGGGATGCTGCCGCTTAGTTACCGGCATTGATTCCAAAAATCCGGACCTTGTGCATGTTCGGTAGTTTCGCGACAACCAGTACTGTGACTGCAATGGTGTTCAAAAAGAGCATAGGATGTTGATAGTCTGTGGTGTGCGAAGCGATCAAGTACCTGCAAAGGAACAGAGACATCCCCGTAAATCATGATGCTCACTCAGATCTATAAAGGACAGTCGAAAGAAATGGACAACCCATGAGGAAATCATGAATATACGAGTAAAGGATGTATTTACGTTCAGACAAGGGCTAAAGAATTCACATTTTCCGTAAGATCAGGTGACCTGGTAGTTCTTAAAATAGCACAGTTCAACAACATACAATTCACGGTTTAGCTTCTTCTTTTTTTTTGATCTGTTGTTTAGCATAATTTTAGCTAGCGAGGAGGTAAACTATTTTTAGAGAAAGAACTAGTAATACTGTTCCAAATATATGAGTTATCAAAAAACTAGTCATACTGTTACAAACATTAGAAGCCTGCCGAACAACATGAGAGTTTTTCTGATAACGAACTATCAGCTTAACATAAATAAATGTATTAAGATTAATCTTATCTTTGCATTTCATGGATAGAAGCAAAGGTTTCATGTCGTTGAGTCCATTCGTCGAGCCCAGGGTGCTACGTCGACATGGCGGGCGTTGGGCAAAATTAATAAAAATAATATTTATATGGCAGGAAGTAAGAAATTATTATCTCATACGGCAGCAAATTCCAACCTTATGTGACAATTAGGCTCAACAGGTATTCCTGGGCTGGCAACATTAAGCCCAACAGCATGGACTATATGACCCAACACTAACCCTAGCAGCTCTACCGCTCACATCCTACCTCTCTCTAACCCAGCTCCCTTGTACAGCGCGCCTAGCTCAATCTTTCCCTGTATGCCCCTTCTGCACCGCCCTTACCACCTTCTCTTTCCCAACAACCAACTCCGAACCTTCTCTTTCCCAACAACCAACTCTGCACCTACCTCCGCTCCCAGCAGCCCCCAGGCCGGCGAGCCTCAGCGAGCTCAAGCACTAGCCCAGCTCCACATCTCCTCTGTCCACAAGCAAATCGGCCACACCAGGCGGCGGCCTCTCTCTCCATTGGACTCTTGCTCGCTCCAGGTCCAAAACGTTTTCACACATTCTTCTGGGTTCTTGCCTAACAGAGAAATTCTGGGCAACGATCTCAGTCGTCCACCTCAGAGCGCCCACACGGTGTAGCGACGTTTAGGAGATGACTTATTTCCTTGGATAAATCAGGATAACTATGTACAAAATTTCCGCGTACCAAAGGGCAGCCCGGTGCACGTAGCTCCCACTTGCGCAGGGTCCGACCACTTTGGGTCTATAGTACGCAGCCTTTCCCTACATTTCTGCAAGAGGCTATTTCCAGGACTCGAACCCGTGACCTCATGGCCACAAGGCAACAACTTTACCGCTGCGCCAAGGCTCCCCTTCACAAAATTTCCGCATAGTAAATAATAATAATGCCATGTCAAAAGAAAAAAGAATCTTCAAGAGATACAAATTAGCAGGCCTGTTCTGAACACAAGAGAAGCATCTTGATCAAGCTGGTGCAGACCGTTAATATTTATCAGATCTTCAAACTAGTGGATATAAGGTTAATATCGTTCTGTCCTTAACAGACCGATATGGCATACTGTTAGCCTATATGAGCGCAAAATGAGTCAATACTTCCGTATCGACAAGCAGCCCAAACCACAACATCGACTGATATTGTGGCCACTACAAACAATATGCAGAATTCCATCTAGCTAAAAGGTTTGTTTCTGCAAGGAGCTAAGTAAAAACTTTGGTAACAGAAAATAGAGAATCTGGAAATATCAAGCTGTATTAATTCGTCCTATAATGATAACATGCAGCATACACAAATCATTAAAGTCATGACAAAAAACTAATCAAATCTCATGAAGTATCTCATATGATGGAAATGAAGATTTACCGTGCATGTTATCCCAAATTTTAATGTCCATGCACTAAATAAGAAACATATTAAAGCCAAACATATTTCGTATATGCCAAACAATCACTATTTAATTTTATCTAAAAAAGACACAACATACTGGATTTTGATTGTCCATAATTCATATATAAAATGTGACTGATCTGTCCACTCATAAAGAAAAAACTAAAATTGTAGTTTAATCAAACAGAGTAATCATGTGGCTAACTATGTTCTCAGATGGCAGGTGAACAATTCTAGCGAATTACAGGCCGCACAAAAATAGTATAATCAGTTGTGATCACTTTGTTGCTTGCTCACACACCAGCCACAAGCATGATCACAGCCAAGTGCTTAACCAGTTTGCCGCCAAGTTTACTACTCCCTCCGTTCCAAATTATAAGATGGTCTAACTTTTTTTCTGAATCGGATGTATATAGACGCGTTTTAATGTGTTTGTCCACTCATTTCAGTCCGTATGTAGTCCATATTGAAATATCCAAAACATCTTATAATTCGGAACGAAGGTAGTATCAATTATTAAAGATAATTAAGTCAATCAGACAAAATTTTGCATAAAAACACTAATGCATGAAGCCACGAAGATAATACCACAAGAAATAAAGATATAACATGCAATCACTTGAAGACATGGGATGGCCCATATAAATGTATCATATGAGATCCTTGATGTCGAATTTCTATAAACATTTAAGAAATTAAATTGATGAATTATAGTTCCTTGGATGATTTGATGTCGCTTGCACAAAATCATTATATTCAAAGCAATGCCCAATCCTTACAAACGGATAATAGCGTAAATATGCTAGTTAGATTGGATGTTACTAACAAGTGATCTTTGCAAAACTAATGAATAGGTATAGTATTTGATGACTAGCCAGAATTAATATTTGTGCATACATCCTGCCATGCTGTTCCTTGCCAAATAAGCCCCCAAAAGCAGTATTGAAGAGATTGAAACAGAATAACACTTACAGGACTACAGGAACCACAACAAGAAATTTTCTGTTGCGAGTAAGCTGCTTGCCGTTGTCCATTTGCTCCCACCAAGTCAATCTATTATACATCCCCTGGTCATCAGCAAATGGAGTTCCCTTCTTCCAGTGGAAGAAGTGGTATGTAATCTGAAATGAAGATTCAATTAGGAAAGAAATGACAACAGAAAAGATAAATAGATGGCATGCTTCACAATATAATCTTGTGAGAAAAATAGCAATATTTATTACTTCCAGAATTGGAGGTTGGGGAAAATAGAACTGCGGTATTTCACTACCAGAAAACTTCCATGGATTTTGCCACTACATTATTACTATTATATATTATATTTAAAGCAGCAAAAGAATGATTAAATGCAAGCTATTTGTTTGGCTATTATGAAACAATAAACATTCAAACTAGAATACACTTCATGTGAAGGTTAATATCCATGACAATGCATACCCTGGGATGAACCTATTCTCTAACACAACGCATCACCTCTGAATTTTTTAGTCTTTCCTCCTGCTCCACAGTGACCAAGGAAATGCTTTGGATATAGATACTGACTTAGGGTGCATTAAGGACAATACGAGGTTGGAAATGTGGCAAATTGTGGTTAATTCGCCCTAGTAAGTAGTCAGTACTATCCAAGAATACATGAATGATATATATAGTAAACAGACATAGTGTAGGGAGCACTGCATAACTGTATGATATCTAAGCTAAAAAGCACTGTATAACTATATGAACTCTGTGCTAAAAAGTCTTTGGAAGTGTATGTCAGCAGACAGAATGGTAATCGGTGTACTCTGCTATTTTACCTACTATAACCCAACAGGGGCATACCTATGTTTTGCTATTTCAACATTTTTGAGAGTAGAAATGAGACATCAATCCTTGCTAGTGATACTTATCTGTTCTGTATACTCATAAGGGAGGAACATGCAAGACATAACAACAAAATGATGGTAAGCTGAAACCTGAATGCATAGAGGATTAGATAGAAATCCTAAAACACCTTGGTGCATGGACTGAAATGCAGGCTACCGTCGAGGTTTACCGAAAAAGGCTTTCACCCCGCTTTATATATATAAAGCAACGATCAACAACAAGCCGGTACAAACGCACGCCACCACAACACACGCATACCGTGGAGGTTTGGAATTCCATTCATCTCAAACTACGGCTAGTGCTTGCTGGTACGCGAATGATGAGTGGTTGAGTAGGGGGGACGCATCCAGCACCAGTAGGGTGGGAAAGCCAAGCCAATACTAGCACCAAAATTTATTAGTTGGCAGGATTGGTGAATGCGTCGTAGCAATTTGTAGCTAGGGAAGGCGATGGGTGGGCAGATGCGAACGATCTACCCCAATTCCTGACCGCACGAAGCAAGCAATCAAGGTAAACTAACTCGAACCGCAAGCCTTCAGATCCACGGGGGGCGGCCAAGCCAAGCCAAGCAAGCAGCCAATCCCCATCGCAATCCTAATCCAGGAGAGAGCCGGAGACGTGCAAGGGAGGGAGGGGAGGGGGAGAGGCGGGTACCGCGAAGTGGCCGAGGTTGACGAGCGTCCAGGCCATGCCGGGGGTGCAGCCGAAGATGGAGAGGATGAGGAGCCAGGAGACGAAGAGGATGAAGATGTAGGTGGTCCAGACCCCCGGGTACATGAACCACTCGGTGTTCTTGTTCAGATCCGGCGGGGGCACCGCCTGCACGTACAGCTTCGCCATCGATCCCCTCCCTCGCCCTACCGGCGCGCGCGTGCTGCGGGGCGGTGGTTCCTCCCGTCCGTCCGGCTCGGCGTCGCGGGAGCTGCGG